CTGGCTGGGGAATTCTGGGAGTTGAAGTCCACACATCTTCAAGCGGCCAATGTTGAGAAACACTGCCCTACCATCTCATTTTGCTGTGGATCAAGGCTCATTTCATAAGGCCTCTTTCATACAAAGGTTAGGGCGTGCGTGAAATATGCTTAAATATGACCGAGTATCCTTGTAAAAAAGTTGTAAACCTCACAACATAATGAGGTGGCAATTTCTGAGACAAGGCCAGGATTGGTCATGTCAAACCACACAGAGGAAAAACGAATTATGCAATGTCGCAGGTTTTTTTTCCCCTGTGCCCCACCTCTGCCAAACATTGGTATTGCCAGCTACGCTCATAAGCAATCGAATGAGACAACAGCATGGGCCATACCCCCTTTAGGAGCTCAGAGGTGCTTTCCCAACATTTAAAACCCAGACACAATTTCCCCTTTCTGCAGAAATCCAAAGGATTGCAGAGAAGTTTAGCACCACTAATTTATTACAAACAGATGGGAGAAGTCTTAAGTATGGCCCTTCCACCTTCAGTGGCAGTTTCACATAAATCAGTCCTCCGTGTCACTTTGAAATTTACCACTTTATTTCCACCCATTACATAAAAGCCTAGAGATTAAAGCAGCAGAATTTCTGCAGACCCTACCAATGTCTATAAAAGAAATACTGTACTGCCACCCCCATTTTCCCGCACGGCTGGCTGTAGAAAGAGACATGAGCAAGAAATGTCTTTTCTCACAATTCTACTATCACTACAGTGACCATCCGACCTTTATTATAAACAACAGGCCTTCATTTCAAAAAGCTGTCCTTTAGATATATTTATTTTTCAAACCCTCACTTTTGTCCTTTATTTGGGTCCTTTAACTTTGACCGTGCAAATGGTACCGCTGAATGCACCGTCTTTGACATTCATGTGAAAAACATGGAAATTGAATTGTCTTTTTCAAATAAATTTACATACACTGTTTGATTTTATTAGAATGTTTTGTAAAGTTTCTCTTGGTTTTGCTCTTGAATTTTCCTTTGTAAAGCAAAGTTATAAACATAAACAATTAAATGATTTTATTCCTATGAACCTCTTTCAGATTTGCCTCTTTTTCAGGTTTGTCCTTATTTTTTATTGTCTTTTTCAAATAAATTTACATACACTGTTTGATTTTATTAGAATGTTTTGTAAAGTTTCTCTTGGTTTTGCTCTTGAATTTTCCTTTGTAAAGCAAAGTTATAAACATAAACAATTAAATGATTTTATTCCTATGAACCTCTTTCAGATTTGCCTCTTTTTCAGGTTTGTCCTTATTTTTTCCAAGAAAATATGGTCACTGTAACTATCACCCCATCCTATATAGTGGGGAGGAACAGGCAAAATTAAATAAGGCTGTCTAAACCCTTCCAAAGGAAGTGGCTGTGTAGAAAAACCTTTCTCTCCCCATTTGCCCGAGTGGTGATCATTTCGCACACAATGAGATCCTGTACAGGGGAATAATTTCCAATCTGTAAAGTTCCAAAGTCTGATCTATGTAACAGGGTTCCTAGGAATAATAGGGTAAAACAAGTTTAAAGAGAGTCAGCTGTTTTGTTCATGAAAAGTTGTTTTGTTTTTTTCATTTTGAGGATTTATGGCTTGACGCCAGTACTGCATCAACAATGGAGAAGAAAGAGGGATTCCCATAGAAAGAAGACCGGAAATTGTGACCAGAGAACGCCCTTATCCACAACCACCAGCTATCTGTCAAACTAAGGAAAGAACTGGGGGGCCCTGATCTGGCTGCTCAAGGACCATTTCCTCTCCTCGCTGCTCCCACCCCGTGTCCAGTCCTCAGCCAAGTTTTCCAGCCTGACCCAGATGGCCCCCGTGACTGAAAAGATGCCTTGACTTCTGGCAAATGATCCTCTTATGCTTGCTCAGCAATTGTGTCCTGAGGCTTGAGGCACCAACCCTTAAAAGGTTTGCAAGAAGGGACCCTTTTGAACACCCTTCAAGGGTTGAGTTTCTCAACCTTGGCGACTTGAAGATGTGTGGACTTCAACTCCCAGAATTCCCCA